CCCCCCCCCCTTCGCTCGCAAATTGTGAAAGTGACGGCGCTCTCAGTCCTTAACCAAGAAACTGCCATAATTAATACTCCAGTAAGTGTAACCAACCACCATGACTAATCAACGAAAACGACCAGCTTCTTTCATCGGAGATAAGATAACTCTCTATTTCCATGCAACTCCAAGAATACCATCTTTCATATTTTACTTGTCTTCTCGACAATACAGCGCCAGGATACATGAAGACGAGGCATAAAAGAGCACGAATTAACATAAAAATGAACGCAGCGCATGTCCCGCATAAGCTAAGATGGAGACAACAGACATACATCTACCCATCTGGTAGAGAAACGCACGTCATTTTCATGTAATCTTGGTCATGATTTATCACATCTTTCGACAACAACATAGAACTTCCGCAAGTCAAAATTTGATACCCTATGCTATGGACTGGGATTGGACTCAAGTTTGTCCAGCACTTCGGCCACATATGCTCCGACGACCTCATTCAAATCTTCTTTAGAACTGTAGTGTAGGTAGAAGGGTGTCTGTGCCAAATCCGCGAATGTTGGCCGACTATTCAGATCCTTTATGAGACTAAAAACGTGACTTAGCGATTGCGCACTAATAAAGCTGCATCATACCAGTTATGAATGAAATTCTTTGTACGAGTGCTATAGAGTGGATTGTTAACCATAGGCGCGTCCCCGTGGACGACAAGATCCAGTTGGGCGAATAAAGGTGCAGAGGTAAATCCTGGGTATGGAAACGCAAAATTTGCTACTTCTACCTAGAAGATACACGATGAGGAAAAAATAAAATTCAAAGACACCTAAAACTACCATCGATATCCCGAGGGACCAGACGTCCGATCTGATGTCATAGCCAGTAGAATAGGCTTCCAGTCGCTCAGGCTGAAACAAAGAAGAAGAAACTACTGTCCAACGCTTTCGATTTGCAGGAAAAACAAAGATTTAATGCGTTATGAAGCTACAGAAGAAGTCTGGGACTATGAAAGACTTCGGACTTACAGTAGTTACGTTTAGGCAAGAAGATCAAATTGTTCTAGGTATTGAGTTCAAGATATGGTTCTGATCATGGCAATGATATAGCATACAGAATTTTTATCTTTACGCGTTCTGTTATTGCAATTCAAAAAACAGGAGATTTCAGTATGGCTGAAACTCTAGAAATTCACCAGAAGTAAAAACAATTATTGATTAGTTCGGCATTTAGTATATATATTACATGAGCTTACGTTATTTATCGTGTAAAGCATCTTTCGTTAGGAATTTACAAAAAGAGGTCCAAGGAGGCTATACTACCGGTATGGTTGCCTAGCCACGAAGCCGGATAAAGCAAAAAAAA